TTAATTTAAAGAATTATTTTGAATTAGTAGTCACCATATCACTATTTTTATAAGTATTCCCTTAGGCTTGGAGGTATAATTTGTTTTTAATTTTTTGCTTTTATAGATGTTGTGTTACAGATCTCCTTTGTTCATCGTTTTTTTTCTTCCATTTAATTGTTTCCTTTGTAAAAATTCTTTAGAGGATAATTAGTCGTTCAAAGGAATGAATTTTTTTTGTATAGTTCTTGGTATCTATTTCTTTGTTTGGTAGAAATAAGTGTTCTATTTTAACTAGTCAGGAAAATAGCTCTGTTCTGTTCTTTTTTTCTTTTTTTTTTGTCCTCACTAAAGGGAATTATCTGTCTTTTATTCTTATTCTTATCCAACCTGTTTTCCACATCTTCCTGGTTAATAAAAGACATTCCCTCTTGATGTTATGGAAGTAATCATTATCCTTTTAAAAACAGCTTTCTTATTTATTTATTTATTGACAGTGACTTGCTCTGTCACCCAGGCTGGAGTGCAGTGGAGCAATCATAGCTTGAATGCCTCAACTGGGGCGATCCTCCCTCCTCAGCCTCCCCGAGTAGCTGGGACCATATGCATGTCCCATCACCAGCTTTATTTTAAAAAGGCAAATTAGTTCCTTTGTTAATACTCTCAAGATATTTGTATTCATGCTTCCTTTATTTCCTGAATTTATTTTGGTTGGTTGGGTTTTTCACCTAAAATCTTTTTCTCCTGTAAAACTTAATAGCATTTTCTTTTCTTAAATTTGTATTGGATTAGATATTATATATGTCTCTATAGTTAACCTTCTTACGCAAATGTTTTGAGTATATGCATAAACGCATTGGAGAAATTATTCCTAGCATAAGCAGGTTAGTGACAGGTATGTTTACAGGAGCTGCTGCTGCTAATACAAACATGACCTTTTTACCCACATGGTGAAGATGCATTTGTATATTTAGGTGGTGTGCTTTCTATAGGTACTTTATTGTTACCCTCCCTATTTATTAGAAAAAATTCAAATTTGGGGAACATTTGGAGAACAATTATTGTGCACCTATCTTTTTGACAGGCCATTTTGGGTAGCTGTTTGTAAAGTAATTGTTCATACACTGTTTTAAGAAATCCATACTGCCTCCTTTACCCATTAACTCCATTTTGTCACCTATCTTTGAAAACCATAGTGTTAGGCTTACCGGTTATTTTGCCTTTATATACTTTAATCATAAATTGAAATATTTTCCCCAAATAAGAAACAAACCTGGTTCATCCCTTTCATTTATCTTTTATAAAATTTTTGTGAACATCTTGTAATTGAGGCATATAATTTCTGTCTACTTTAGAAAGTCATCTTTTTTGCCCCGGTTTGTGTTCCAGCTTTGGGAGGGATACATGGCAAAGGATAAAGGGGTGCCTGCCCATTTGGCCAATTAACCAGCTAGCATAAGTGAATCTTGGCAATCTAAGGGGTAATAAGTTTGTGGCCTCATTGTCTTACTAATATTCATGTGAAATTTAATACATCATCATGAAAAAAAAAATTTAATACAACAGAAACTGCCCTGCAGAAGGTGAATTGAAAGTACAGGAATGGGTTTATTATTATAAAATAAGT